CCGGCTGCCCGGGCCCAGGCCCAGCTCCGCCGCGCGTCTCCCCGTGCCCTCGCTCCCGCGCTCCAAATGTGGCCACTAGATGAAGGATGAGCTCCAGTAACCTGGCTAACGAGATGGGAGACAAGGCAGGTAAAGCAAAGAGAATAGGGAGCCCGTTCAAGAAAAAACAGCATTTGGGGACCTCGGCTTCAGGCCCGCTTGCCTGTGTGAGATCACCTTTCCGTACACACAGCCAAGGCGATCCACATTAAGAATAGCTCCTGTCCTTGAATACAGCAACTCCTAGTGAACCCAGCGAGTCAAAAAGAGGGACTGGTAGAAGTCCTAGGCTGGATGGTCAGGAGGGTCAGAAGAGGGTATTGAGTCTGGCTTTGCACTAGTTCTGCGCTAAGCCATGCTGTCCCAGGCCTGCTCTCCCCCTGCCTTACAGGCAGGGCACAAACCTTCGCATCCTTGGGTCTGCATGATGCGGGGTGCCTCCTGAAATAAACCTTGTGCTGCCACTTCATCCTATCTCACAATTCATGTTTGTGAAAACATGGGCATAAATTACAAGACTTACATAAACTACAAAAATTACTAACAATTTTTTCAACCACTAGATTTTATGAACTGGTTATCAAGTAAAATGCTCGTGCAAGGCATCTAGGTCTGGATGGCATTTTAAATTAAAGCTCTGTGTCCCCTAAAACTTGTATTCTGAACTTTAAAGATTATAAGAAAAAGATGAGGAAATCTAAAGACAAGTCTTTCTAGATAAGCCAATATCACCCAAAAAAGATTATTTTCTTTTTCCATGGAAGCAGAAAACATAAGTACCTATTATTCCTATGGAGAAGGAGTCTACAGACTGGTGGGTCAGATCTCTTCAACAAAACAATTTGATGTTAATGAGAGATCTTCAAGCATACTGTGTTAGTTATTAAATATTATCAGTAGCATAATATGTTCAATATGCTGCTATTATCCTTCCCTTAATTCTGTTTTATTCTCTTCACAGACTCACTATAGACAAAAAAAAATCAAATTTAAAATATTTTCCTCGTATTTTCACTAGCATGTAAAGCTATACTCGAATATAATGCGTAATATATTCCATATACGTTACAGAACAAAAAACAGAGATCACATAATTACTTCAGCACTTTTCACTTCAGTGATCACTTTTACTTCAAGAAACACACAGGAAAGATTTCAAATACTACTCTGCCAAGCAATTTCAAGCACAGTAGCTGGTTTCATAAAGGTATGATATACATAAAATTATTTTGTATCTGTGTTACATAGATATATATCATATTAAGTATATTTAATGACGAATTATTCTGATGAAACAGAATACATGAAACATTATCAGTAACTCTCTACTACTACTATTATCAAAGTTCAGAGGTTGTTATCAATGGCTTCAGGGTTCCCTACCAAAACCAGCATGAATTCCCCAAGGGACCTCTGTCCCTAAAAAGCTCATTTCCTCTTACTTGCACCTTGCTTCAACCCACATCAGAATTTCATCTTCAAGAAATGGCAAGTGCCTCCCTTCCCCAAAACACAACCTTCCTCAAGGCACCGAAATCCAGTGTGCAGGCAAGGGGCTGTTCTCTTGAGTTGTGTTCTATGAAACCTCATAAATTCTATTTTTCTGGGAACTCTTGTAAGAATCTCAACCACACTAGGAATGTCACTGCTGATAAAGAACGGTGGAAAATACAGAGGTAAAACACTGCTCTGTGTTATGAAACGTGTTGAGAAAGCGGAGAAGTACTTCAATTAGAAAGGGACAACCTGGAAACAAACTTAGTTTTTGGAACATCTGGAAGAGTCTTAGAAGCAGAGCAGCTAAAACCTGCCTTCTTTAATATGGAGAAGACCATCATTATTGTTTTTTCTATCATTAGAGAGAAAATCTCCCAACCTTATTCTCTAGCAAAACTATCAGAACAGTACCTTCCAGATTTGTAGCTTTGCCTCTTAAAAGTCAGGCAGTTTCAGTGAAATGCAGGATAGTGAAAAAAAAACTTTCCCTTCTCCACCGCTACCTCCATTTCATAGGAGTCCTCTTATCATTCTATCTTATCATTCTACCTGTTTACTAGGACCGCAGGATATCAGGACTTACTGACTTAACAGTTCATTAACAGATTTGTTGGGTTGTTTGTTGGATTGCTGATTGGTTTTTAATGGAAAAAAAATCTGACAAATAATCACAATTTACTGCTGTTGTTTATATCTCCTCAATTTCATGCCAGAAAGAAGAAAAATGCAGATTAAAAAAATCCAATAAACATCTTGAATATTGTAAAGAATTAATGTATGTATATATATATGTATACACACACATATAAAACTTTGAATAGTCATTACTTTCTGCATTTCACACAACTATTTAGTTCAAAATGCATCTGAGCATACTTGCCTCTATCAGGAAAATGTTCAATCTATGTATGCAATACAGTAGGAAACTACCCAACTTTTGTGAATTATTTGCACAGCCTGAGCGCTAATTGAAATGTCACTGTTGCATCCATTAATCCCAAGACGTCAAAGAAGAAAGCTGGAGGAGGGTGATGAGTAAGAACATAAATCACAGGCATCACAGTGATGCCTGGAATGCGCCTGTGATGGACCTTATGAATGAAATTGCAACAGCAAAGCAATCTCAAGGCAAAATCTTGTGACAACCCCTTACTCCACCGACTTTAAGATGCTATTTGTTGTAACATACCATTGTGACAAGCTTCCACTATTATATTTAAAACTCCCCAAGGGGCTTCTGTTCAAGCATTTTTTTTCTGTCATTCTTTAAAAAGTTTTGTAGGAAGAAAGGGAGCCCGTGATATTTGCAGTTGCACAGCCAATGCTGTAGGTTATGTAATGGTTGAAAGAATGCAGTTTTCTATATCTATCACATTACTACCTTTTCTGAAACTTCCTCATTTTGGCCCAAAGTTTGCATGCCTTGCCTGTGGGGCAAGAAACTGGAAAAAAATCAACTCTGGGGGAAGAAACTGGGAAAAAAAAAACCCACACCTTTTAGCTAATTTTGAGATATGATAAAATGGAAAAAAAAATCATATTTCCTTCATAGTTTTATTTTTGTCTTTGAAAGAACAAGCAAAATTTGGAACATTTCCCACAAGTGCAAGATAATTATATCACAGGGGATTTTGCCAAAATATTTCAAGGGTAATGCTTAGCTTAGGATTATTACTGCAAATAATGATGAAAATGAGTTTAGAGGTGGAAAAAAAGAAATCTTTTAGTTATTTTCCCCTCGAAAATAAAATAACACCAAGATTTATACTGTACAAGACTGCCATGTTAGACATCCTGTGCTTGTCCTGGGCAAACTGCTACTTCTGTAGCCACAGCCGAGCATGTATATGAGCAGCTCACACCCTGGAAACAGTATATGGTGTTAGAGCAATGCTGATGCTGGACTAATTGGTAGCCTTGTCAGCAGTTAATGGTGTTTCTGCTTCTAACTGTAGCTCCTCTGGCATCAGGCTCAGTATATACACACGCCACCACTTTGTACTGCGCTGCAGAGTTCACTTGGAGATGACTGAGCTAAACAGAACAAAACATGTTTTTTTACACAAAGGTATTTTCTTTCCTCTCAAAATAATGAAATGTTAGCATGTTATATTAAACTGAATTCTACTAAGGTCTCTTCACTGCTTGACCTTTCTGGTGTATAGCAACCAAGGATGGTAGAAAGACTGATAATGGAAACTGCAACAGTAAGTAGCAGGACAAAGCAGGAGAAGGGAAAAGTCTGAAAAGACCTCGGACATGAGATGTGAGCTGGACTTCTGGGGACTCTCACTGCTTTCCTGTGAGAATAGGGTTTGTGAAAGTCCCCTGCAAAGCATGCGTTTTATCCCCTCTATCGTTAGAAATCCTGAGCGGCAGTGAATGATGAAGCTGTAAGGAGTAGTTTGGTGTTGTGCAGAGATAACATTCCAGATTTTAGCAGCGGAGCAATACAGCACTAGGCAGAAATTCTGTGCTCTCTGTCCTGCCTCTTGTGCAGGAGGCAGACGGCTGCATAGTAGATGCTCAGACTCACGTTGCCTGGATGACTGATTTTAGTTGTCCCTATTATGAACATTCTGGCACTTCTTTTACAGCTGGGAACTTTTTAAAATCTGGGAAATTAAATGAATCTACATGCATACATTGCGACTCACCCTACCTGAAAAGAGCACAATTAATGTGCAATATCAGCTATGCTAAATGTAGCAAATGTCATGGCCTGTGCATCTCTATCTAGGCAGCTTGCACAATCACATCGTGAAACAAACTATCATGTCATGATCACAAACACTTTTTTTGCAAACAGCCCTTGGCAGCCCTGACAGTCACTGAAAGGACTTAAGGCTTCATAATGAAGGGCTATCAGAAAGATGCCAGCTTTACCCATTAGTGGTTTTAGATGCAATGTAACAAACAGGGCAGAAGAAAAAAAAAACAAAAAGGGTGGTTGCCGAATGCATAGTCCCTTTTTTTTTCCGTGTTCAAATTTAAAACCTTAGGATATCTTATGACTAGCAGAACTGTCATGTTTTACAGCAATCCTAAACACAGTGAAGTCTGCTTCAAATGCAGAAAAGGAAAGATGCTTAGAAAAAACATATAAAAATCTAAAAATATGGATTAAAACCGCCTAGTAAATCTTTTCTGTGCATCTGTCATCAAGTAGAAAAACAAGCATAAAACCTAGTCATCTACAGCAATGTTATGAAAGTACTTTCCTTAACACAGATTAAGAACTTGTTTTACAGTGGTGAATTTCATGTAATACACGAGGAAATTAATTTTGCCTTCAGTGATGGTTTCAACCAGTTTTATAAAATAATTCTGAGGCCATAGTGTGAACAGCAAGAATAAAAATCAGATGTTTTTTACATGGACACTACTACTCCGCACAATAAGGCAGTAGCTCCGGAAGGCAGGAAAGTTTCCTATGTAACAGTAATGGTTAAAATTTGCATCATCATAAACAAACTCAAGAAGAAAAATAAAAATCACAGAGATATTTGATCATTTTTTTGTGCTCAACTACAAAACCATAACAAGTGCTGTTTGGGGGCAATTTTATACTAGGTTACCCTCTTTTGACTGAACACAGTGATTATGAAGGCCTTAGGCAGTAAAAACAAATGTACATTTCAAGCAGACATATAAGTTTAAAAAAGGCTTTATCAAAAACTTTCCCAGAAATGTTAAAATACTCAATCCATGTACTTTTACAGTAAGTTGTGGCATAATACAATTATATAAAGAAGGACAAATTTTAGTAGATTACAGAAAAGGATCACCATACATTATCTTAAATTAAATAAATTTTTGCAATGTTAAGATAGATACAGATAGGAATACTGGAACATCTACTTACATTCACACTGTATCACATCTAAATTAAACTGCTGAATTGCTCCCATGCTTATTTGTTTTAATTCACTGTCCAGTAGCATCTGCATTAGGGATGTTGAGAGATGCTGGCAGGCTGACATGCAAGCTGTCTGGGCCACTTTTCCCTAATAGAGAGACCAACAAATTTTTAGGACAGAAGCAAACGATATGACACTGAAGAACAGCGTATCTGATGTGATTTTGTAACACACTCAAGGTCTTAATGATGCAGCACTTAGAAGAGTGATCAGACTTTCTGTTATTTCTTTGATTAGACTTTCTGTTATTTCTGTGACGTGTTAGCTTTGGCTCTGTTGCATCAACTGGGGGGTTGAAATTGAATCTATATTAAAACAAGTACTGCTATATCTTCCAGATTTATATCCAACAGTCTTCAAAAATACAGATACACTTCCAAATGTGAAAGAGCATAATGAGAATATAAGCTGGTGAAGCACATGAACAGCTTTGTGGATTTCTTCTACCTGAACAGAATGAAAGCAAGAATGGAAATCAACATGCTGCATATGTTTCACGATAGTCAGTAAAAAATAAAACAAAATAAAACAAACACCTTCATATAAACCAAAACCATTGCTTTCAGTTAGGACATTTCTTACAATAGCTTGTGCTAATCATTGTCACCTAATTGTTAGAAATGTACCTCAAAACTTGCTGCTAAGTTATTTAAAATATTCAAGTTTTTCCAATGTCTTTTCAGGTGTTTAAAAGTCAGTACAGTCAGTAACGAACTACTTACAAAATGAAATGCAGCCCTCTGCTGTACAGCATAGAAACAATTTGCCTATCGAAATCTAGTTATTAACATTCCTCTTCACAATGTATATGATTGAAACAAATAATTTTCGAAAACTGAGATCAATAAAACAAAGCATGAAATCAGATATTAATTTGCTCAATTATTAAAGAGGTTCAAAAAACTGAAAATATTTCCATATAAAGCAAATCGGTGAAGACCAGATACCTGACCAGACGGCAACACCCTGTTCATAATGCTACAATCTCTTAGAGCATAGAGATTTTGGCTTTTAATGCAGTTACATGATTCTCTGTGTCTCTAGTCACCATGCTTGTCAAGTTAGCTATATGTTACAACATCTGTTGATACATGGGTAATTAATAATATGCTTATATGAAAAAAAAATTACAGTTATTTAATGTACCTACCAGAAGGCAAACCACTATCATTTTACTTTAATGCATTAGTAAAGTGATGACGCCTGTTCTCTAAAGCAATGGTTCCTCAACTGTTTTCTGCAAAGTCAGGATGATCAAGTGGATCACAAGAACACATAATAAGCAGTGATTTCAAATACAGATTGGATGATAAGGATTTGTATGGATTGGTGAAAAATGAGTGGATTCACTGTCTCAAAAGATTTGGAAAGTCCTGGTCTACAATCCAAAGGACCAGATCTTGCTCTTAATAAGACAACATGCTCACGTCATTGCATCTTGATGTGCACATAATGCACAAATCCAATTTTGTACCTTTAAAATCTATTTGCTATAATACACACCATTAAAATGTAGGCAATATAATACAAAATGTTCATTTTCTTCACATGTCAAACTGAAACATTAAATAATCTTTGCTAATACTTCCTTAGCATTAACACACCTTGAGCTGTAAAGAGCTTCATATCTAAAATGAGATGTCGGTTTCTTAATTGAAAAATCTCAGAAAGACAAATAACATTTTTGACCAAAACAGATGAACTGACAACAAGGAATGTAGGAAACAATGCAAGAACAGCATGCCTAAAAGTCTCCCAAACCCAATGGTAATTACACTGGGAGACATGCAGCTCTATTCCCCAAGCAGAACAATATCAATATGAATGGCAAAAAAAAAAGCGGGGGGGGGGAAGGCAGAAAAAGGGGGGTGACGAGGGAATCAATGGGCCATAGTTCATTTAATTACAATGTAGTAGGTTTGAAATACTTAATGGAAATGTCATTTTGATTTAATGGAACAACTAGTGCATTTCAGTTTAATGTACTGCTCCATCAAATCAGCTCCATGTCCTATTTATGGTGCCACTATAATGTAATAAAAGTTCAAGCAGATTAATAGGTTGTCAAAAAAAATTTTAACGTTCAATTTATTTTATATGCAAACAAATTGTACTCCACTATTATTATAAATAAAAGACAGAATTTTATCTTTACAGCAAGCATCTGTACTTAATTGTTACAATTTGGCAAATATCAATAGTACTGGAGCACAAGATAATGGTTACAAAACAGAAATGAGAGGGGAAAAGTCACTGGGACTTTAAATAAGTATCAATATTTGTACATGTAATGCTTATTTTAAAATGTCATAGAATGGAAACATCCCATTTTTTCTTAACTATTTGCAACTATGCAACTTGAACTACAGGCTTATTGTTCACTTGGCACATTAAGAAATAATACAAGTTTACTCTGCATAATGTTTACTTAGTAGGATGATGTGATTTTTGTAAAACTAGAGAAAAATTAAGCTTAAATCTATGAAGTATATAATTTAAAGAAAGCTGGATTATAACTTAGAAAAACATAAACTTTATTGTTATTTTCCTCAAAATTCAGTGTTTCCAAGTTCAAAATACGTTGGATGTACAACTTAGAAAAGAATGAAGAAAAAGTATTTCTTTGAAATCAGGGAACACCATTTCAAATTAATGCTCGACAAATGATTTCTAATTAAATATCTCCTGAAGTCTCTACCATCTACCAAGTAATCAATTATTTGCCTTTTTTTTTCCACAATGCATTTTAAAGAGAAAAAATGTAAAGATTTGTGAAAATGCTAACATGATGTTTATTTTCCACAATGAAACAAGTTTAAGCCAGTTTTAAAGCTAAAGCTAAGACATTCTTAATAGGGTTTGTCAGCTGTTCTTTTTAGAGAGGGTGGCAACAGTTACTCTATCTAGCAATTAAATAGGGATATTCAGTAGCACGCAGAGATCCAGCAGCCCTCCTGCATTCTCTCCAGTATCGCCTCCCATTTGGCGACACTGCTATTATCTCCACTGCGCCCACGTTAATTGCTGCTATCCACAAAACCTTTTCTTCCACTTAGCCGATGTAAAGTTTAGGAAACAAGGACCCTATTCTATAAGCAAAAACACCTGCTAACAGTGTTAAAGGCAACTATTTTTTTTTTAACCCAGCCTCCACATTTTGCTGAAATACAAGTTTGCAAGAAGAGAAAACCCTTAGACAAACTTCTTATATTTCAAAGGAGCTTGCAAAGAGAATCTGCTGACATATTAAATCCTTTATTATAGGACCCAAAAGCTTTTCTCCTAAGAACAATTGCAGTAAAGAGACATTTGGCTCCTAGGAAATTCTCAAAGGGTCACCCATATGCATCCTTCCATGGCACCTTCACGGTCCTGCTTTCTAAGACCCACGCTAGCTGTCTCAAAAGCAGCTTTCATCATTCACTATGGTGTCAGTCAATATGATTTATGGACTGCATTCAACAAAGTCAAAGCATATAGAATGAGAAATATGACTACAATCTGCTAATTTGTTTTGTATTGAGCCACTTAAGAGTCAAAGACCTGATGTCAGGCAGAGACCAGCAACACAATTAACCGGCCGGTGACAGATTCATCCATCCTCCCTGCCAGGCTGTGCCAATCAAAGACAGCATGAAGCGGCATTTGGAGAAATAACTAAGAAAACCCATTCTTTAAGTAGCCTGTGGAGGCTTCTGATTGACAGTTTTTGAATATAGCTGCAGAAAACCACCACCCATTCACCCTCAGTGCAAGCTGTGAAATTAGGCTTTTACTGCCAATCACAGAAACAATAAAATAACACAAACTGCCATCCTCAGCATAAAAGGAAATAACTAAGCTTATATGCTAAAGCTAGTAAGCTTAAGAAATAATTTAACAATATGAAGTGATGGAAGCAACAAAAAGCTTCCTAAGCAAAGAAACTAAACTTACAGATTTCACCAGTCATTATAAATAAAATATGTTTTTTGCTTAACAACATGACTAAAATCCAACTTTTGTATTACAGATAGAAACCAAGAATACTAAAAAACATTAATGCATTTTTTAGGATTTAAATTTACTTCCACTTTTGTAATTTTGCCCCAAATTCCCAAGTGGTACTGAAAACAGTCACAAATATCTCATTCAAAGCAACTTGTAATTCTTTTTGTATCTAGGATTCTCTCTAGGAGGAGCAAATTTAGATTGCATGCTTAAAAAAAAAAAAAAAGGAAGAAACTGAAAATAATCCAAAATAAAAGGAAATTGGAAAGTAAGAATGATGCTATTTTTTTGTACATCCAATGTATTTTTGGCACTCAGAAAGAAAATCTACCAGATAAAGGATGATGTTCAACTTTATAGCTGCTCCCTGCACACTCCAACACAAACTACTTTGGATCCACTTTCATCTTCCTTGGAAATCAGGAGACTCAGACTCTCCCTTTCTTTTTGACATCTAGTTGTAGTGGGCTGTGCTGCTTCCAAACAATCTATTTGTCTTGATCTTCTGAACTGCACTACAGATAAACACAGTAATTGAAACAGTCTACGTTACTATTGAAAATTACTGAAAAACATGGCAAGAAACCCTAGGTAATAACACTGATCTTACTATTGCCTCTTTAAATTGATGTATTTGGCTTTAATTCTATAACTACTTTAATTCTATTAAGTACTTTACTACTATGTAACTTTGTAAGATAGTAGTATCTTCTACTATAATTGCTGGTAGTTATAATAACTATCAACAACTGATTCAATACAGACTGGAGTCTTTAACTGTAGGACAAAATGACCACACTGTATTTGTTCACCTTTTAAATTTATGCTTTTTTGAATACAAGGCTATGACAACAGATCTGTGCATCAGCTAGATACTGATTTTCGAAGCTTTTGCCCAAGTCAGTATTTAAATTAACATTAACAACAGTTAGAAGTATTTTTTCCCTGGAGGAAATACAATTTTAAGTATAAAAAATACATCTTACAAACTACGAATCCCAACACTTTCTCCAGCATAAGTACCTTATACATTTGTTCATTTAAAAAATGAATGTATGGCAATAAGACCCAGTCACATGGAAGTTGTTAAATTGGAATTGTACATTCACATAAAATTAGGAAAAATTAGTTCAGACAGTTCCTAACAGGACAGTATAAATTTCAACATTCCCATTATCATGGAAATGTTTCTGCTGAATCAAAATAAACTGTTGATGCAAAAATAGGTGACTTGCAAATAATCATGGCTCAGAATAATTCTTAAACGCAATCCATCATCTTCTAAAAAATTCTTAAATGCAATCCATCATCTTCTTAAAAAAAAAAACACACTTGAACAGAGACAGTCCCTTGACCTCAGGCAGATGCAGCAAAGCAGCAACGCAGCTTTCACAGATCCTCTATTCTGATTCCCCACTCTACCCTATTCTGTGTGCACGTCTCAGAGCTGCATTTCTGATACCTGACCTCGCTTGCAAAGGGTCTCACGGTCTCCGCCGCGTGCTCTCATTGGGGATGCGGCGCACGCCCTATCAACCTTCCACATGTTTGTAGGACTCCTGCTGTCCCAGCATAGAGAAGACCAAGGTTAGTCATCAACCTGATTCCTGCATGCAACCACACACGGTACGCAGCAAGTCACCAGCACACAGAAGGGCCTTTTTTATTAACTGACTAAATATGGAAGCAATAAGCCTGCAGGCAGTTCATAGTTTTTCAGTTCACATGCTTTTTCTTCATCTTGCGTCTACTTACCGACATAGCTGCATGGTCATTGTTGTTATTCTGAGAAGGAAACCAGTAAGGCAATCAAAACAAAAAATTAAGATGTACTGTCAACATCAAAAAAAAAAAAAAGAATAAAAAAATTGGTAGCAATAAAAGGTAAGAAAAAGCTTCCCAAAATAACAAAAGTATCTACACAATTACTTTCAAAATACTTTTTAGCCTATGAACTTACTTAGTACTTTGTCAAGGCACAGCAAAGAAATTATAATTGAAATAATACAAATTTGTCAGTAAAATGTTTTTCTGTGGTAAGAAACTGTATGCCATAAGATTAAAGTAGCAAACTCCATATGAAGAAATATGCTTCAATTTGACTTTCAAAAAGTTTTCATTATAACTACATTTTATTTTAAAATACTGAAGAAAAAAACGCCTCTTTTACTGCATTGACTTGCAAAGGCTACGGTTACGCTACTAACATAACTTGCACAGGCAAGACTTAGGAATGACTTAGGAAAATAAAAAGCTACATGCATTATGATGCATTAACATCTTTTTAATATAAATCTAATGTTAATATAACTGGAGGGTGGAATGAAACTCCTTTATCAAAACTGCTGCTGTTTTACAGCAGCAAATAAAGCAAACAAAAACAACAATTAACAGCAAATAAAATGCTGTTTTACAGTACACAAATAGAGAGGAGAGAACTAAGATGGAGGACTCAGAAGGAGAAAAAAAATATGCTTTAGAGACAGAAGATGTTTCAAATGACTCCATGGAGATATGAGATCACGGGTTCAGAAAAATTAAGGTCATAGTCTAACTTCTTTAGATTTCTTACGTTCTAATAAAAATAACATACTTTTCATAAAGCAGATACTTGAAATAAGATATACTTTTTAAAATTATGCATACATTGGTACATAACTACTTCACAGCATAGACCCACATGGAAGCAGACCTATACAAAGGGACATACCCTTGAGTGCTTACACAGTTTACATATACATCCACAATAAAAGAGGATAAAAGCAGCACCCAACAATCCCAAAGAACACACCATAGCTTTTCAACAAGATGACTCGTTTGAGACAACATCAGCGAGTCAACGATCCTTGCTTGAGCAAGACTACAGCCAACCACTGGGGCAAACTAGTTGCGCCCCTCACCTTAGAAGGGCGTCTGCTAACACAATTGCATATGCCAAGGTGGCAAGAGAAGGCATTTCTCCACCTGTCCAACCCTCCTCCTTACTAAAACCATGGCCAACGCCTAGGACTTTTGCTCTTTGATCTCTAATTCTAGACAAGGTCCTAAGAAACTTATGGATAATAGCATGTTTTTGGCAGCTATACAAAAGTTGTTACAAAAATGACATTATGACATTTTTATTCCATAATGAAAATGACCAACAAAAACTATTCCAGATCTCAGCTATGACGTGATAATCTAGTTTTGCTTAGGATACCAAAAGTACCCACATATGGAAAGTAGTTCTGGGATTCTCTTTCAAAACACCTTTACTATAAATAACTATGAAAATAACTATTACAAATCTAACTCAAATCACCATAACGAAACTCTAAATACATTTTAATATAATTTCCACATTCATGCACAACAACATTCAGAGGACCGGATGCTTCTACAGTCAGCCAAGCCAGAATAGCAGCATATGGGAGAGGTAAAAAATCCAAGTACCCTCATTCCAGACCAGACCAGACGTCCATGTAGTTCTATATCCAGCCTATTAACTGGTTAAGACTGAATGCAAGAAAATATAAAATCTGAAATTACAGACTTTCTTCACAGAGGCCATCCTTAATGGCCTTATGCCATTACAGTCTAATGGCCTTAACCCATGCCTCACATCTCACATTCATACTGACATTATGTGGTGTATTTTGAGTGAGCTATCTGTTTGAATCAGTAAAAAAAAGAAGTCAGAAGAGTCACAGACACTTGACAAATGATTTAGAATACCAGATAAGCCCCCTAACCCAGCAACTTCAGTATCTCAATCCTGTATAAAGTCCTTTTTCTAAAAACATAATTTTATCAAATACTTTCTTAAACTGTCTGTACAGCTGTGCTGTAATGTAGCACACGAAGAAAATACCTTTGAATTTCAGTCTGAAGCCTCAAAACGTTCTGTGTGTTGAGAACTTACTCTCTAGGAGAGTTGCATATGAGTAAAGTGATCAAGCATCAGCGTGACAAAAGCAACAGTATGCTAGCGGAAAGCAGATGTAGCTTCAGTGACTCATTCTAATTACTGCAGATCTATACAGGTATAAACTGCAGTGATGATAACTTAAACTAGATGTTTTATTCTCTGTCTTGAAGCAGGGAGAATTAGGCAACAAAGTAACAATAAGCACATAAACAGGTTAACAACACCCTTTACCTGGGACAAAATAACAAAAGATATATACAAACATGAATGAGGAGTCATTTCACTGAAGCTCAGTTAACTAAAATATACATATTTTTTTATAGTTAAAACAATTTAACTGAAGACAACCTTGGAGAATATCCGAGCCCTCCAGGATCTCGTGCACGAACCAAGAGTTTGCATTAAATTCTGTATTCTTTAAATCAGTGAATATGCCCATAGAAGAATGCTAATTAAAAAGGCCACCCTCAGGTAGTCTGTTCTTGCTTGCTCTAGAAAACTGAGTTCTTACTATCTGTATTTTAGCTCTTGTTAACAATATTACCAAAGTATTTGAAAGTATTTTTCAAAATATTGTCATGGATAGGTATCATCAATATCAATGCTAAAAAAAAATACATTAGACAGCACATGCACAAAATCAAATATCATACCTTTCTTCTAATATACTAACTTCACAACTATTTTAATTTAAAAAATCTTCATACTTTAAAATAATATAACATGCCAATAGCTCTAAATCAAACAATTTTGAGCACTTACAGGTAAATGAGTAAAAACTTGAAATGTGCTTCTTAAAAAGTTAATAAGGTCCATTAGGTATCCACTGGCTCTTCCATCTGATTCGGACATTGTCCAGTCATAGTCAGCAATCTGAATAAATTCATCTATTTTTTGGTTAAGTTTTGTATATATTTCTCCTTCTGCACCATGTCTTGCATCCTGAAATAAATAGTGAACAACTGTCACAATTCTAAAACATTATTAAGTTAGAATAATTATGTTTATTAACAAAGCGAGTCATGTGTTTTTCTTAGAATTGAAAAACAAGTTTTAAAATTTGTATTTTAACTAGTCTTGAAGCAATACATCTGAGCATGCATTTTTTTTAAATATACCTGTAAATGCATACTATAAGAGTGTTTCTAACAAAACATGCCTGCAGAGCAATCTAAGTTTACAGAGATAAACGAAACACAAGTGAATTTGCAATCAAAGAAATTGCTTTACTCTCCTTCATAGACATCACCTTTGATTCAGCCTAACAAATTTATAAACCTCAAAACAAATGTTATTGGTCCTTTTATACAGAAAAATAATAACAAAAACATAATTATTTTATCTGTCATGACTGGAGGTCCAGCAATCACAGGATTTTTGTCTAATTAATATCTTAAAGTTGCACATCTGAAGAACACTTATGTCTTTACATCCTCCCTTAAACATGCTGATGATACCACAGCACGATTCAGAGCACTCCCCTAAACCCTGCTCATCCCTTTTTTTATTCTGCCACCACCCAGAGTCTGTTCTGCATGAACACGAGACACAGAAATTACGTGACCAGAGGTAAAATATAACATTTACTGCGAAGTGAGTATATTAGTTGCCTCATTTATTTAGAGCCATTCCTCACAGCTGTACTGGAATGTACTCAATGATGCTTGATGAGGGGTCTCTTGCCAGGAAAGTTTTACTTTTCCCAGCTTGGAATTTAATGATGTTTGACAAATTCTCTAAGTCGGTCTCAAGGTAAAACTTTCTTCAGAGAAAGAGCCCAAGAAAGAGGGATCATGAGGATGGGTTGCTCAGATGCTGAAGTTTTCTAGAGAGAAGGAATCAGCTGGGTATATTAGAACCACACAAAAGTGGGTGAAATCCCCATCCTTAGCTTCCTCTAGGTAAAAGTAGTCCAAAATCACAGCAGTTCAGGCAACAAAAGATAGAAGTAAAAACAAAAGGAACTAATCCTAAAGGTGGCATCAAATTTTGTGTGTGAAATTCAACCTTCAGCCACATCTCAGCCTGTGAGGCACTTGCAGAAATGAGCAAGCCTATAGACCCTCCATGTAGAGATGCCAGAGGAGGTTTCCCTAAAAATGGCATTTTTATGGCAACACCAACTTGTAAAAACTTCTAATAAAAAGCTCGCCTAATCTGACACGTAAGAATCTCATAACTTGTTAAAATGTCAAATAAAGGAATATGCTGACATTTACAGTTTCGTAGATGGCTATTTCTATAAAAGCTTCAAATAGGGATAAGCTGTTGTTTAACTGCATAATTAATTATAAGACCTAGGTTTCCACAATCTATAATGATGTGACCTATAAATAAAAGAGGTAATAAAAAGAAAGGAAAAACATATACCTATTAAGACATCTCTGGAGTGGCTGCAGCATTTTATCACTTTTTTTTTTCCTTCCTCTAATAACTGGTAAAGACAGAATTAGTCCCTCAGGTTTTGTTTCTGGAAGTCTGTTTTTGGCAATCTTTTATTTTGCTTTGGTTACTGGGATACAATAGGAGCAGTGTGGCAATACTGTAAATGAAGAGATCTGTACTTGTCTGTGAGGTAACTGCTAAAAAGACTAGAAAATGGATTTGAAACCCAAGTGAGACTTTTGAGAAGCAGCACTGTGAATCCCACTGCACAAGTCAGGAAAGGGTGAATTAGGGTGAATTCCCATTTAGATCTGGGATGACTCTTAAAAGCAGAGAAATCCCTGCATCTCTTCTTTTAATTTGGGACAGACGGCTCACAGGAAACTTTAGAAAGCTCACCAGACTTTCCTCCTGAATAGGGAAAATGAGGCTGTTCTGTTCAATAGCTTCTTTCTCAGAGAAATAGTAGGTTTGGAAACAGTTATTCTATTCTCATGGGCACCAGATCTAGCCCAGCACAGGATCCCATGCTGTGTGTCTGGCTCTTCAACAGTCTTTACACAGCTTAATGTTGAGATACTCATTTCAAAAACTTCTACCAGCTAGACCTGCAGTTACATCTGTTTATGCTTAGTGTGACTGCTGATTGAAAAAAATATATGTATGAAAAAGATGGTATCCATCTCTTCAGTTATCCAAAGTCAGAAAATGTGATTATAATATTGAAAGCCACACACTTTTATATGATAAAACGATCCTGCCTTTTTTTTTTTAAAAAAAAAACCTTCACCCATGTGAAACAGTACTCAGTATTTGAATGTCATCTGAAGATGTGATCTTATATACAATAATAAAATGGGAAAAGCAGCCCTCTAAAAAGTTGCCATGAAATAAGTCTGAAGGCTTCTATTAAAAATTCAGTGTAGATGTATTTCTAAGATCACCTCCCTGGGTGTGAATGTGAATGGGATTATCAGCATTGCTAACAAAAGGAAATGTTTGACCATTCAAAAAGAATGAGGGTGACAGGATTTGCCACCAGGAGATGTAATTAATAACAGCAGAACATACCAAACTCTGTAAGGGCCCTGCTGAGGAACTGCACACAATTTTTCATTAATACAAAGGAAAAAAGGGGGGATTAATGAGAAAAGGATTTTTTTTTTTTACTATGAGTACAGGATATTGTGCTAACGTTCAGGGAAACAGAAAGAAGGATAAGGAGAGAAACCATAACATTCTTACGCATTTGTCCCTATTCATTCTGCATTTTGCAAAACTGCTCTGTAACAGACTGAGCACCTAGCCAGTGAGGTAAGATATAGCTATCTGAATAAACCCTTATACATGGCACATTTTTACTAGCCTTTGATGAAAATGCCAATAACTGAAAGCAGAACACAAAGTTACTGCCTACATGAAACCTCAAAAACCATTTAAACCGAGATAATTAGTATACAATGGTTTCATCCACAAGATAAAAAACAAATCAAAGCTGATATTAATAAATCTATCTTGCTTTTTACGCTTACTTGAAAGACTTCCAGAATGTAAACCAGAGGAAGACAACACTTGAAATATTCATAGAATACTTAAACATAACGTGTTGAATGACAAATAAGCACAAAACGTAAAGCATTTTTAAAACTGTGTTTATCATATAACATTGAAGGACAAAACTCTTGACAACTCTTGACACTTAGTGAAATCAAAGACTACAGCTGCACTCATTGGTTTGTTTTGAATATTAAAGAATATAAATTGACCTTACAAGAAAGTATCTACAGACATACGCATTCAAACACACACGTGCTCTATAGGCAAACCGCAAGCAAATTAAGCAATGGAATTTTAAAGGACAAGGCAAACACAAGCAGGGCGATGGTAGCCTAACTGCATTTCTCAGGCCAGAACCTTTCCAGCTTGCCTTCTTCATTAAATCCTCAGCAAAACAAATGATAGTTAATGAGAAAATTGCTGGCAATCAACTGGAAAATATAAAATATAAATACTGCAACAATGTCTTATTCCACCTCACCCACTTTTTAAAATCTATGCCAGAGGGGATATTACAACAGGATAAGCTGCATCTTGTATCAAGGGGGGGGAAAAAAAAAGTACAGAAAATAGATAGAACTCCTCTCAATAGGATTAGTCTTTCTTATCCCATTAATACAAGAAACCACCTTCTTTTGTTTCAGTGTACACTGAAGAGAGAAAGAAAAAAAAAAACTTGCAAACGTAAAGTTCAAATTACAACTGCTTTGGAATCCTATATGATTTCTTCTTTTATTTTCTTCTCTTCCCAAAGTTTCTCTAGAGAAGCCCTAACTGATGGACAAGGCAAGCACTGACTGAATTAACTCCACAAGGTGACCTATACAAGAATATTCCTCCATTGTCATTCTAGAAGATTCTTTGCTAATTTTAATTAACAAGCATATACATTGATGAATCTTGTTTTATATGGCATTATAATTTATATGAAATACGCTCCTGTGTAGCACTTGTGAGACCACATCTGGTCAGAGTCACTCTGCTGGACTGAGTATTGTGTCTGGCCCAGGTTCTCCAGCCCAAGGAAAGGCACTGACTACCCAGAGGGAGCACAGGGCAGCACAGACAAAAAGGTGTGAGGGCTGCAGGACCCAGCATGTCAGCAGGGGCTGTAGATTGGGACTGTTTAGCCCAAAGAAAAGAAACCAGAAGGGTTGACCTAATTGCTGCCCTCAACTTCCTAATGGGCAGGTGCAGAGGGGATGAAATCTGGAGGGGCACAGCAAGAGGGCAGAAGCAAAGGTCACAAGCTGAGGCTGATGAGGCTCCCATAAGATTTAGACTTTTATTTGGGACACTTCTGTCACCTACTTAGATTTCTCCATCTTAATGTTACTCCCATCTCACCCAGCATTCCATGTGGAGACAAAATATGACCCATAAAATATAATTTCTTATATAATAATTAATTGACAACCAGTTTCTGGAACAGATATTACAAATATCTATGACTACTTTATACACTGCTTTGAAGCTAAGCTGAAATTTTTCTCTTAGTTCTCTTCCAGTTTTCTTTAAAAATGTGGAGACTTTATTATAAAGTTCTAGAGGTGATAGTGTAATTTGGGGAATTCTGAATAACAGATCTCTGTATACATTGTTAACTTCAACTATTTTCATTTGGATTACTATATAATAGTTCTTTTGCTATAAATACATACTAATTAAAAACAAATACATCACAAGAAGAACAGATGATGAAGGTACAGAAGTGGGGTAGCTTAAGAGGAAATAAACATAAATGTTAAGTTTGACAAACAGAACTCTACTAATCATCACAAGCATCTCAAATATGAATCAACACATATATAAATCACTGAGACTGTATCTGTGTATAATGGGATTATTATTCATACATCCAAAGCATGACATTTTAATTTATATCACCAAATAATTACCAAGGAAAGAAATTACTTAAATGGTAAACATGCCAGGATATGAACAGATAAACACATTATGAATAGAGGTTCACTTCTGCATGTTTTATAAAAAATGTGTTTAGGACAGAAATTGTGCAGATGAGAATACTTAGATGAGATTTTAAAATGTATAGGACAAACTGCAAAGCAACAGGACAGATAATCCCAAAACCTTTTGCTTAATTTTCTATAGAAATTATTACAACAACTTGGCCTTCCAGCCCATAGCAATAATTATGAGAAAATTTGAGGCAGATGTAACACCTCTCATTAGACCAACAGATATAACTGTTTTTTTTTTTTTTTAAAAAAAGACGATGTTTCAGTCCTAGAAATCTTCCTCCAAAGTATGTCTGATGTCCAAAAGCTTTATGTTTTGTTTTCTTTTTTCTTTCTGCCTGACTATGGAAAGCACTAGTATCTACACATTTATGTGGGATTTCTTCCCAAAGAAAAGAATCCCAAATCACACCCATTTTCTTCTAATGTAAACCAAAAATACTGTTTTGGCTGCAGCAGGTCTGGGAAGCAATTTCTGCCGTGCTTGCTGTAGACGCGCTCCTAGACCGGGTGCTCAAGAGTCACCCCAGCACGAGGGGCCTGAAACGCCCCCTGCACCCTCAGAGGGCTCTGGCCACTTGTTAAGGAGGAATAATATTCTAGTGTCCTGGACATATCTTTCATCCTTATAGTATAAAATTGACTCCAACTGATCACAATTCTAACACCTGAAAGGAAAAGGGGGAAATGTGTTCATTCTCTATAGACATTTGCTATCGTGAACAATTTATGACACTTTGTAAAATAATTTTACAATGGACTATACTAGATACACACAAAGAAATTGAGAAATTAGGAGGTTAAGTGACTTATTTCTGAGTCATAAGCCAGTGGCACACTAGGAAAAAGAGATTGCAGTTCCTTGCAGCGCCAGCTTGGTGCTCTCTCAGTGCTGCTTGGGGTGCTTGTGAGACTCATGGCAAATGTTTGAATGCAAAAAAATGAAGAACTTTGGAGGGGCATCAACAGAAGGAAAAAAAAGAAGGATTAACAAGCAGGTAAAAGGGGACAAGAATTAAAAGTGTGAGCAAAATGCTAAAGGGAAGAGAGGTAGGCAGAGAAGGAGCAGGAGCAAGAGGCTTTACAACACCAGAGCATGCTCCTGTCAATAGCAAACGTAGAATTACTGATTCTCAACACTGCTTTGATCTGAGGGAACAACTTTTAAATGTGGTAATAGGTGGTTCACATCCAGGATAACAGCCCATCCCTGCCTTGAACTCCTACATGGGCAGCCCTGAGCTCCTACACTGCTCTCATGTCGGGTTAATACAATGGCTCCCTAATGTGAAAACAGGTTTCTCTCCCTTTTTTCCTTTTTTTATTTTTATACATATATAAAAATAAAATAAAATAAATAAATAAAAAAACACCCCAAAAACCCCACACATTCAGGGAAGCATTCACAAGAAAAATACAGTTGTTGCAAAGTCAAATATTAGCATGTTAGGAAAACTCAAGATTGAAGGTTGTCTTAATAAATTAATCTCCTATTTTGATTATGATACAGACTTAACATTTATTGAGACACCTTTTGTAGTACAACAGGAGAAAGCAATGGCATTTTTAGATGAATTCACCAATGTGACCGTTGTCCAAACCGCTGCTTATTTTTTCCTCAAGCTTTTGTGCAGATACACTCTAAAAACACATTTAAGGACAATCAGGCAAGTGGGAATATTTCCAGTGAGGCAAGGAGCAGCGCTGCAGCCGCACACACTGTTCCCTGAGCAGCACTGCACTCCTGGGCTCTGGCCCCATGCGCCATAAACTGGAGATCGAGTTATGGCACAGTATGTTTAGAGAGTACATGCATCACAAAATTCTGATAACTAGGGCAAAGTACACAAAATAAGCTTTGCCAAAAACAGTGGAAAAATACTGACTTAAAGCTATATTACAAGCACACAGGAAGTGAAAATTGAAGAACAGAAAGAAAAGAAAATACATATTGCACCACTCGGTTTATTATCTTGCTAGGAACAGCTCCTTTTTTTGTCCTATAAGACAAATATTTGCGCTTCTATACGGCGATCACTTATAGGTTTACTTTCTGAACAGGCAATTTTGAAGATTATGATCTTCTCAACCATTCAGTCATGTACATGTAAGTGATCAACTCTCATCAGCTTAGGAAGCAAAATCCTCCTCCACGGCTCTTTCCCCGGCTACTCAGCTATTATTATTTAATGATAGCAACTATCAAAGCTTTTTAAAATGATAATTTGTAGATCAGAATTACAGGTAATTATTCATATTTGGCCTTGCATATTCCACTTAAGCAAGTATTAACGCATATATTTATTTATAAGACATGGTAAAAACATGGCTCTAAAAATACAATTATGTATTTTTTGTTGGTTTCACTTTTACATTATGCATTACTAGGTCACTACTTGAAAACATAACAAAAATTGCTATTTTATAACAAAAACAAACAAAATACGTTCATGTATTTTAGATCACCATAGTACAGTTTGGCTTGATTCTATTCCCAAATGGAAGATACTACATGATTTGGAGCTTCGTCTATAAAAGCTTCTAGTGAAGTTAGGTTCAGCTTCTCATTTTGAACTTAATAAAAGATCCTAACATGTCTGGAAGAGAACATCAATGCATCTGATGGTACTGACATATTTCAAATCATACTGATAATATGAAAAAGTGCTAATCTGCTGAGTGTTGAATTTTAATTTTCATCAGTTCAGAATACTTTTAACAACAACATGAGAAAATGTGCCATTTCCCTTCCTTTCATTTTTAAGATACTTAATTTATAGTTATTTTTATACAACTTTTCAGACACGATTATTTTAAGGATGACATACAGCATACCTTAAATGTAGAGAGTCCATAAAGTCTTGCAGTGTGAACAGTCACTTGGGAAACGCTTGTAATGTTAGTTATGAAATCCTCAAGGTATTTACAGGCTTGTTCCAGGTGTGTTGTGTTTATGATGATTTGAACAAGCTACGAGACACAAAAAACCCCATTTAGTGACTTTTTGTATCATCCACTGTTACTTGATTTTTTCCAAGTGTTGTTACTCCTTTCAGCAGCAGTTTACTAAAAAGTAATTACAGTATTTCAAGTTACCACTTAACAAATGCCAATTTTCAAAGATAGCTTCCAAATACCGCAATTTACGCAGATCATGATATTTAAAAAAAAAAAGAATTGCAACCACCTACCCAGTGAAATAACTTGATATTTTAGAAATAAAAAAGGGAAAATAAGGAAAGGTATCATCAAAATTACCATCCACATCATTAAAAAAAAAGAAATAAATTACGACAATTAAGAAAAAGAAAAATTTACAGAAGTATCTGCATAGTAAAGCATTCTTAAGTTAGGAAATTTCAAAAATAAGGCTGTCAATGTTTTTTAAAAATAAGGCTGTCAATGTTTTTGACAAACAGTGATAACAACCTGCTGCTGAGTTATTTATCTTTTTACAAGGAGGACATTCATTCATATTCACTCACAAATTAAGGACCACTTATAATAGACAGTAACAGAAACATCAGTACATCATTTCCTGAATCATCACTGTACACTGGCTCCAACAGTGTTTTAGTGAACACTATTGAAATGTTTCTTTTTTAAACATTTTTCTTTCATAAAGCATATTGCCTTGACAACTAAATACCTTCAAAAATATTAAGCAATTTATTTTCATATCCTTGCAAGTTTCTGCCACCAGTTTTTAAAAATGTAAAGAACTACAGCTCAGAAAAACTGCACATCTTGATTCACTAACATGGCAATATATGATTTACAAAGATGTTTCTTCATCTACTTTTTGATTTCACCTAAATAAGTGAATCTTGTAGTTTAAAAAACAGCATTTAATATGATCTAGTACAGCTCTACTGGCTACCATTTAATTCCTTCTCAGCAGTGTTACGCATCATCTTTCAGTAGGTATCTGCCAACTCCTAACACTGCAAATAACTGCAGGAACGTTAATAGAGCAATTCACCCTCTTAGCCCTTATTTTGTGTGGTAAACCCAATGAGACAAGAGTCCTGACACAGAAACAATATGTACAAAGCTACCAGAATATTTTAATATAATTAATACAGACAGAAGAAGTTGCATGTCTTAGAGTGAACCTCAGACTTCAGATTTCTTAATCTGGCAGCTTCATGTGAGGGAGATTTTCTCCCCCCTCCATCTTTTCTTGGGAGACAAATAAACTCAATAATGTCCTAATAATTGCTAGACAGGAGCAGAGCACACTGAACCATGCACTACAGGTAGTTTGAGAAACAGGAGACCTTAGCTAATTCTCTAGAAGCCCTTGTTTGTCATGGAGGAGAGAGCTCTGTCACTGTCACATCGTGCGCATCCCAACGTACACATACTCCAACTAGACCCAACACTGTAGTGCTACCATCTCTATAAGAGACTACTTCCAAATACGGCTACTTTTCCTTATGTCATCTTTCTTCTCTTCAAATTTTCAGCTTTGAAGCAAATGCTACTTTTATTCTTACACAAATTTTAATACTACACTATGTCTACACTTACAAGAATATGCTTAACACTGCCTTAAAAAACAAGCACACACACACAGTTTTGTGAATGTATTTTAAAACTTACCTCAGTTAAACCTATATGAGGTTTTTTAATTAGGTTCTGTAAGCAACTACTTAGAGTTCTGGTTAGCAGCAAATTTGTAGATTTTCTGAGCATATCATCTATTTCTGTTGAACTGAAAAACAATTGCATATTTTTATAACTATCCTGTGCATGACAATAGCTTTTTTTTTTTTATGGATAGTAAATTTTTCATGTTAAGAATTCCCTATGTGCCTATAATTTCTAATAGCAGTAAGTTTCTGTGATCTATCACACACAATACCTCTTTCACTCACCAAATTATCCACTAACTGAATTTCAACACTGAAGCAAAATCTGTTATTTTTAGATTTTGGACATGTTTATTACCACAGCGGTTAGGAAAGACTTATTTGTGCTTTTAATGAGTTATTATGGAGGTCAACATGCACTCATTAGTACGTGTAAATTATAAACAGTATCAATTAAGAATGTGTGAAAGAGTCATTTACATCTTTAACAGTGCGGAAGCGGGTGACCAGCAATCAATACCTTCCAGGTTTCAGAGCTACAAATGTTATTTTATGTAATTAAAACCAAGTCTTGCAGGGGCATAATGGGAAAGAAATCAGGGTGCCTTCCATAAAAAAAAAAAAAAAAAAAAAAAAAAAGGGAGAGGGGGCAGGAAAGAGGGAATCAGTATGCAGCCAGTACAGTTTTCTGGCAGCAGAAATCATTACTAACGAAACTCAAAGTACAGACAACAAAAAGCTGGGCTGAACTACTCAAGGCAAACCAATTATTTCTGAAATAATCAGTTTTGAGGAATTGTTTTCAAATTGTATATACTTTGTTAAAAGAAAAGCTTGTACATTTTTAGGGCATGGAAGGCACATGGAAGTTATAGATTACTTTATACTCCTGGCATTTAAAACTTACCTTCGGTGAAGTGACTCTGAAAATTTAAGGCTTGCATAAATAAATTCCTTAACCTGGATATAAATTTGAGGCACTGACTGAGACATTGGAAGCTTCTTTGGAAAACACTGCTACAAAAACAAAGGATAACACTATGTTACATCTTGAACTTTGATTCTAAGGAGAAATTGCATGAAACAACAATTATATTTTTTTTAGCTTTAAGCTTTTCTGGTTTTCATCAATATAAATTGGATTTTTATCTATTTAAATAGCTTATAAGAGAAATATAATGTTAACATTTATTTATATTAAAATAAAATTCAAACACTCCAGGTAAATTATCAGATCACCTTGTAGAAAGCAATTTAAATATACACATTAAAAACGAAAGTACCAAAACAGCAAAGCTGAATATGGTGATATCTTCAAGGCATCTTAACAATTTTTGACATGTATATTTACTGCCACACATTTACTGGTTCACAAAACTAAAACATTATTTACATTCTTTTTCATAAATTTGGATGAGCATATTTTATGCATACTAGTAGTCTGTAACAATGAAATCATGCCTCTTATTTCATTTTTAAACTTGATAATGTATTTGGGGGCACAAAGAAGATAATGCAATTCAATTAAATCTACAACACCAGATAGACAGGTCTGCATTTAAGATATTGCATTTGAAATACCCCAATTAATTTTCTGTTGACTCTATGACTAATGCATGAGAAAAATAATTAACAACTGGTATCATCCCAGGAGAATTGTATTTCTTCAAATAAAAGCCTAATAAACAGCAGATCAACACTCTGGTATTAAAAAATAACAATAATAATCATGATCTTGACATCCTCTTTTAACTATAACTTTTCATTTAATATTTGGCAGCATGACAGATAACATAGCCTAAGAGCAAAAAGTACTGTCACATACAACTTTAAGGATCCCCACGAAGTCCCTTCAGCAGGGCTTGATCTCAACCTTCAGAGATTCAACAGTTTAAGAGTTTAATTCTCTTAACAGACTAATTTAGAAGAGGCAGTAAAACAGAGATGAAAGCCAATTGTTTCACTTTTGAACGTATAACAAAAGTGCAGAAGTTAGATTATATAATCAAACCATGATAGCTTGCACATTCAATCTCAACAGCAGAATGCAGGAAAAAAACATGTATTTTGTCCTGTCAGGTTTTATCCGCAATAATAAACATTAGGTAGGTTCAATTCACAAATCTGTCTCAACATGCCTCAAGCAGCTCCTATAAGCAACTTACTGTAAAATTGTGAGGGGGATTCATCTTAGCTAAGAGTTAGAATTAGTGCTTACTAATATTACTACTGGATCTTTTAAAACTAAAACATGCATTTTCACAGGCATTTCATCTTAATCTGTAATAGGCATTGCAAATGCATCAAATGAAATAGCCCTCTGGGTTTTTTTTTTTTCTCCTTCTTCTCTCAAGTTCATTGCATCTTTCAGTGACTCGCTGGGATTTACACATCTGTAATTATTTTTCTTTTCATTTAAACATAGATTAAATTAACCCACTAAATAGGAGCTAATAACATCTCCGTGCTTTATAATCAAAGAATCACAGAATGGTTGAGGATGGAAGGGACCTCTAGAGATCATCTAGTCCAACCCCGCTGCTCCAGCAGGGACACCTAGAGCACGTGGCACAGGGTGGCATCCAGGCAGGTTTGGAGGATCTCCAGAGAAGGAGACTCCACAACCTCTCTGGGCAGCCTGTTCCAGGGATGTCATTCTCAGAGTAACAAAGTTCTTCCTCATATGGAACTTTCTGTGTTTCAAATTTGTTCCTATATATATATAGCCCTGAGGCAACAACAGAGGGGTGACGTGGATGAGTTTATAAACTGTCTACAAGTGATGCTGTGGCATTTATCAAGCTTTTCTTCCATGCAGATTCCTTGCTATCTAATAAAACGAAAGGTAAGACTTCAGTCTTTCATTCAATATGGGTGCTTTCGCAAACTTTTAAGAACTTGATTATCTTTGAGACCTCTGCCACTCTATTAAATCTGGTTAAAGTCAACTAAAGTGGCTCAAAGATTGGTAGGACACAAGGCGGGGTGAGGGGGAACACACAGTTTTGTTCCTAATGATGCCCTAAAACAACACACCCTAGTTAACATATAGGTTTCAAAGCTTTTTTATAAACATATGTAAAAATCATTATCCCTGCTTTACAGATGAATTAACAGGGACAGAGAGATGTGAAGTGACTTACCCAGTGTCACACAGCTGGTCAGTGACAGAGTTGGGAACAGAATCCAACCTGATTCCCAGCTTTAATCTCAAATTCACTCAACCAAAAACTAAGTATCAGCCTGAGATTCTGCCCCAAAAATATCCACAAATGAAGTGCTGTTCACTATAAAATAACAATCCCTTTCTGTGTCTTAAAACAAAATTAAAATTGATGGCTATACAAAAATATATTCTCCTTCTAGCAAAAGACAAGCTAAATGCCTTTGTCTTTGTTAACCATACGTGTTCGTACACACACACACGTATACTCAAATAATAAAAACACTTGCAATGATACATCAGAAAGAAAGTGAAAGTAAGGGAGGCAGATAAAAATTTTAAATACCATTTTAAAATCTCTGCAATTTATCAGCAAAATCATCATGCTAAATAGTATCAGCTGTACTCTATACTTCTGACATCATACAGAGTTTTCTTAGACTGGTATTATTTTATAATAATATATCACATTGACTAAGTATTTGATGGAGAACAGCATCATAAAATAACTTCAATAGATGAACAAGATATTACAAAAATTAAAATACTATTAAAGCCATCACAACAGAAATACCATTTTAAAAGAATTTTTAAAGATAATCATCTATGACGATGTGTAAACCCAGCATGAGCTTTAGAGTCCTAACCATCATAAAACCCACCTTTTTTTTTTCATCATCTTCACTGCAAAGCTATTAATATGGAGCTCTTACAGTTGCCTGGTAAATCCCTGCTAAATTGCAGGTATCTCTAATGGTGGATTTTGTAGAAACTACCTTCCCACTAAATCAGTTATTACCTCTGTTTTATCGTTCTTAGTTTTAGCTCCTCCTCACAGACTCCATCTCATGATGAGCATTACCAAAAGCATATTTGAACGGCAGAAAATACTTATGACCTTTCTGTGAAAGCAGCTCTCAGTGGGAGAATGGCTAAGGGTATACAAGAATATCCTGCTGGAATGCTACCACTGCAGAACTATTTACAGTCCCTTTGGGTTTATTTCTCCCCAGGTATCTAGACATAAATCATGAACTTACAAAGAAAAATAGCGAAGTCTATTATTTTGTGCAAAGTCTGTTTATTATTACATACATATATTTTTAATACTAACACATATAACACACACAGGTTACTAAATCCAATATGACGAAATAAAATTTAAGATAGTTGTAATTTTAAAAGACTATTTTCATTAAATATTAGTATTAATTAACCAAAGTGCTTATTAACATGTTTAGAAAAGAATGGGTCACATTATTCACTCAAACTTCAGAGATGTAATATGTATATTACATACTGAATTACATATTTATCAACGACTATAATTACCCATAAAGACGGTGACGTAGCCTCTTAATCCATCTGTTTTTTCAAACCTTAATTACTTTTTAATTATAAAAATCATTACTGTCCTAAAAGTCCTTAATTAGATTTTGGCAAGCTTTAATATTTTTT